AAAAAAAAAAAAAAAAGAAAAGAAACTACCGCCACACGGCTGATGGGACAGTATTGCATCCTATAACCCGTATTCCATCTTCCCGTCAGGCATGACGATGGTCTCCTGGAAGTGGTCGGCGTGTACGGGTCTTTCCACTGCGCTCAGATTCAGGTGAAACTGGCCAACCCCTTCCGCATAGGACAAGCACACACAGTGCGGGTAGGTGAAGCAGCGCCCCAGCAGGCAGCGCTGCCAAGCAGTTTTCCCCTTTCTCTCAGCGGTGGATGGTGGCCCTCGCAGTGGGTTACCCTGTACCATGGGCTTGTGTGGATGCAGAGGAAATAGGAGATAAGATCCTCAATCCAGTTGAGGAAACAAAGTGTCCACTGAGAAAAAGAATCCCTAAATAACCCATGAATTACGATACATTTAGATTGGTTTCCTAAAAACAAAATGCATGGCGGACTGGTGGCACACACCTGTAGTCCTAACACTCAGGAGGCTGAGGCAGGAGGATCACCACAAGTTCAAGGCCAGCCTGGGGTACATGGTGAGTTCAAGGCCAGCCTTGTAAGACCTTGTTTTCAAAAAAATAAATAAATAAAAAATAAGTAAACAAAATGCAGCAAGATTAAGTGTTCACCAAGGATAGCGGCAAGGACATTTCAGAACTTTGTTGGGGCTGACATTTTTCTGATTATTTGTTTCCTACCGCCAGTTGATCTTGAAGTGCTCCATGATGCCGATGCAGGTGGATGGGGAGCCGTGGGCCCAAGGGCCCTGCACTGTCACCATAACTCACAAGACGCACGCTTCCATGCTTTATTTCTCTGGAGAGCAAACAGATGATGACATTTCCAGTGCTTCAGACCAAGAGGAGGTGAAGGACGCCAACTACACCGATGAAGACGTGCAGACTTAGCATGTCCACCGCCCACGCGTGAGACACGACCGTCCTGAAGGAGGACGCGATTCCGTACCAGCTCTTCATTCTTCATTTCACTCGTAGTACAACGGGTACACGTTTACATAAATAGCATTCCCCAGACAGCCAAACTCCCAGTTCTTACAAATTTTTCCACCAGGATACCTTGATCATGTATTACTAACTTTGAAAAAGTCACAGAAAGCATGAAGTTGAATTTTTTTCATAGCTGTATTTTGAGAGGGACTCTCTGAAGTGTGCACTGTCTCATTTTCCTTATTCTTGAACCACACACACTGGATGGACAGGATGTGGGTGGAAGATCATTTCCATCTGAATTTCTAATGTGACACCATACCGCATTAAAAACCAGTTTGCTTTTTTTGGAAGGAAATGGTTCACTTCAAACCAGCATGGCTCACACTGGGGTCCGTGGCAGTGTGCCTCTGGAGATTTCCTGTGCCCCAAACATGTGAGTCCCAGCACAGTGATTTCCAGAAAACCCCTTAAGGGAAGAATGTGAAAAAGGACAAAACTTAAAGTGGTTAAGACTTCCAGTTTTCTCCTTGTGATGTTGGGGACTAAACTCAAATCCTTACAGATTCTAGGCAAGTGCTGTATCACTGAGCTACCACTCCAGCCCAGGATCTTTTTTTTGCATCAAAAGAGAAACACCAGATAGGTGATTTGTTCTAAAAAAAAAAACTTTTAGAGCACTCTGGATTGAAAGTTACGGGTTCCAAACTGGATAGTTCACCAAATTCTCTTTTGATTAAAAGACAATGTCCACACCTCAAGAAAAAAATATATATAAATGCGTAAAGGAAACTCAACAGTCAGACAGATTGTTCAGAAACAAATCCAGACTGTCATGTTTTCGAGGTTCAGTAGTTCTTGTATTTTGGAATACAGTAGTCTTTTATATCTGAAGTACTTGACAAAATGCCCCCTGGGAGGAGGTAAGTGGACAGAAGCCTCTGCTAAAATGTTTATATCATATTTATTTTACAGTAAGAGAAAGAGAGATATATTTTTAACTTATTTATTATTTATTGTGGTGTCAGACTCGTGTTTAGTGTTTACACTGGTATTATATAGCTTTAGTAAGTTTAATTGGTCACATAAACTGTGCCACTCCTCCCAGTCAGATAATTAAATCCTAACTTAATTCTCCTGACAGGTAGACTACCAAGATATTCTCACTTGTCAGTGTTTAGGAGGAGGGCATGAAAAGCACTGAGCACCTACGACTTAGGAGCATCCAAAAGCTTTGCTGTTTGTCTTGGTTGCCAAATACTTCTTGAAGGGTGGTTTCGTGAATGCCCACTAGGGGGCGCTCTTTGGCTGTTGTCAGGCGTCTGGCCTGAAGTTTTTCTAGCAAATGGTCCGTTTGTGAGCTTGGTGGTGTTTAATGAAATTACTGTAATCTCTGGAAGATGAGAATGTATCCCCCAAAAGACCATTAGCTTCCTTTAGGGATCCATTATGAAGCCATAAACTTCAGTTTGAGTCACCTCAAGCCCAGGCCATGTTTTTAAAGAACAACTCAGTAAATGTATGCCACACCTACTGCACATATAGGAAACTTTTATCTTGCTAAATTAACTCCTTCCAGATCTCCACAGGTGATGCCAAATTCTAGGATTTGAAAGCTTTTGTTCCCAAGACTGTTTTGAGCTTATTTGTTCACATTTACAGCAGGTAACGTGCTTGTAGAAGTGGTAGGAAAAGCCAGACATGGTGGCGCACACCTGTAATCCCAGCATTTGGGAGGCTGAGGCAGGAGAATCACTAAGTTCGAGGCCAGCCTGGGGCTACACAGTGAGTTCAAAGCCAGTCTGAACTACATAGTGAGACCCTCTGTGTCAGGAAAAAAAAAGTTTTGTCAGTTTTTCTTTATGGGATGATCATGTCTTGAGTATTATGAAATTTATCTTTTAATTAATAATCAAAATAGATACCACATTTCATAAATACAGTGTTATAGTCACTTCGTTGTAGGCTATATTATACCTATAACTGGTATTGCTAACTATAGTGGAAACAAAGTAAATAGTTAATTTGGGAAGAAGAATTAAAAACCAAGAAACTACATAGTTTTTTTTTTAATTGCTAAAACTACTCGACCCACAGTGATACACTGGATTTACAACAGGTTAATGTACAATACTTTCATTTATTTCAACAAGTTGATTTTTCCGTTATAATCTGGTGAGGTATTTTATTTTCCTACTGGCCCTTCATGAAGTTTTTCTGCTGCCTTATTCAGTCATGCAGACGTAATCTTTCTTTAGGAAAGTTATTTCAGAATTCTGCATCACAAGGTGTAATATTTTGTTTTAGCAAAGTTCACCTGCCTTTTTAGGTAGCATTTCTGATAAAATATATAGGCATGTGCCTTGTTTAAATGAATACAATTTGTAAGACTTCATGTTCACAAGTTATATATTAGGGTAATAATTGTTTATATTGCCAGGGATTCTGAACGTTACAAAATAATGTAAGATTTTTCCATTTAAAATTGTCTTGGTATTAAATAACTTCTGCATTCTCAGGAAAAGACTCAAGAAGTAAATCTGATTTCCTTATCTGTTGCCACATTTCTCTCATCTTTTACTGCCCTAATATAATATAGTCCTCATTCCTGTAAACTATGAAAACCTGGCAGCTCCTTAGGTGATGACTTTCAGTGCTTTGTTATATTTAGTAGAAGCCAAATGGCGACCTTGTGTTTTACAATACAAGTGGCCTACTAAGATGACATCAGTGTTTTAGGTTTTCTGCAACTCCTTACTAGCTGTGAACCCTCAATGTGGCTACTGTTTATAAAAATTTTATACTCAAAGTTATTTGTCTTTATTTTTTTAGGGTGTATCAAAACATGTAGTATTTGCTTTTCGGAATACATTTGTCAACTTACAGAGTTGTAAAATACACAGTGACTCAGAAATTATAGTCCTTTTCGCACTGTAAAAATGAATACTACCAGCATGTCCTAAGAAAAATTTTTTTTTTTTGTACTGGGGATTGAACTTGAGACCTTGCACTTGCGAGGTAGGCAGCAGAACCACTGAGCTAAATCCCCAGCCCCCCCCAAAAATAATAATAATTTGCATTTGTAATGTAAACTACAGTTGTAGCTAATATATGTTGTAGGATTTTTTTTTTGTAGGATTTTTAATTTGCACTAATTGGAAAACTTTAACAGTTGTGGTAATTTACAGATTAATGTGGACCTAAATACACAATTTGGACCAAAAAGTCAGTGGGATAGGTGAGCTTTGTGCAGCTTTCCTTCAAAATTATAATATTGAATCAAGAACAGGCATTTTATTTTAAAAATACTGTTTTTGTTCTTAAATTTTACGCAATTTAGGGCAGTGGAATGTTAGATTTTTTTTTTTTTAATCTAGAAATTTTAAAAAAGTTTTGTGACTCTGTCAACCCAACTGAAGGTAAACTCTGAGCAGCAAGACAAAAGAGGTTGGTTTTGCTTTTAAACCCCAGGCCTCTGCCTTTCCCAGCCCTTCCCGGCCCAGTCTCCTGTGTCCCACACGCGCTCTGCACGCTGAGCTCAGCATCAGAACCAGGCCAGCTGGGCATGGGGCGCACACACTTCAGATCCCCATACTCGGGGAACTCGCCGCAAGTTCAAGGCCAGCCTGGGCTACATAGTGACCCTGTCTCAGAAACAACAAAACAAGAACCAAAACCAGGCAGGCAGGTGGTGGAGCCCAGGTCTTGACTTACCGAGTTGCCATCTCTGGAAACGGGACCACAGAATCTCGATTCTTATTAATAGGCACCAGCGATTCTGGTGCACACTAAAACCAAAACCTGAAAGCAGCTTGTGTGCGCCTCGTGCACTCAGCCAAGGCTCTGGCCAGGAGAACACTGTGCAGAAAGATTAACTGAAGGTTTAAATTGGTTTTCCTTCACTCCGCTAACTGCCATCTTCTTCCAAAACTGTCCTGCTGTAGAAACTCCAAAAAACGTGTTTGCCAAATTGATGTTTGCTGTTATGTGAAAACTGGGGGCTGAAGTTTGTAGGCGGAGCTGGAATCTTTAGCCTGACAATGGCAAGGAGTTGCTTTGGGACTGGAAGAGGGGACCCCAAAGGGTGTGAGCCTGGGAGCCTCCCCACTTCTCACCTCCTTCAGGCTGTGCATCCCATGTATGCCAGGTGCCAAGCAAGATTTCAGCAGCTGAAACACTTTCACTGTTAAGTAATAATTGTTTTGTGTTTGAGACAAGGTCGCTCTATTTAGTTCAGTCTGGCCTTGAACTCACTATGTAACCTAGGCTCTCAGCGATCCTCCTGCCTCAGCCTCCCAAAGGCTGTGATTACAGCCATGCACCACCATGCCTGGCTGAGGTTTTTTGGGTTTTTTTTTAATGTGTTTGGGAGCCACTGCTTTAATGACTCTTACCACCTGTTTGATTTTCTACTAATTTTACATTTCACACGCCTCATACTTAATGTTGAACAGTCTACTCTAGGGGTCTCAGTTGCTGCTTAGAATATGGCCACTTGGCCGTTTCACAATTTTTAAAGGCATTTTGTTGCATAGCAATGCACCAAACTTAGCATCTGTTCCTGTTTGTAACTTTGGTATAGAAATGATCTGTGTTTGATCTTTACGTAAGTACACACATCTGTTTAGTCCGGTGGTCCTGACACTGTAGGCAGCATGTGAGGCTTGCAGGTCTCCGAAAGGCACATTGCAGGACTCTGGGAAGCCTTCCTCCGACACAGTTCGCAGGGCTTTGCCGCTGCTCCCGCCGACCTGTGGCCGCCCAGACAGCTCCCGGCCCCCGTGGGGGGCGAAACAGAAGCTGCGTGTAGGGAATTCGTCCCGTGGACCTCCGTGACTGGCGGATGTGGAAAGGGACAGCTGCCACGTTGGACTTTTCCGCACCCCTGCCCGCTCCCTTCCGGACGCTCCCCTCGCACCGCCGCTGGGTGACCCACGTTCACTGCTTCCGTTGTGTTGGGTCTGACCTCTGTGGTCCTTAACTGCGGACAGAAACGAGAGTCGAAGCACTTGTGTTGAAGGTGTTTGCTTGTTCTTAATGAAATTAAAAGTGCAGCACTTAGGAGGAGTGGCCTTGTGTCGTTTTTTGACACACTGTTGAGAGAAAATGAGCGGCTCTGAGGTGGCTTCCGCCAAGGAGTCCTTGGTGCTGGGCCATTTCTGATCAAGGCGCTTTGAAAGCGCCGAAACTTGTGCGGCTTCTCTGGCCCGGGGCAGACACACCGGGTCCCGCAGCCTGGCCCCAATCGGTGCCGGGAGGCTCGGGAGCCGTGGCGGTGGAATCCTGCGCGCCTGGGAGTAGATGCGGCCTGGGCATGTGGGACCGGAATCCAGGGTGCCTGACCTCGGGGACACCAAGAGAGCTGGCTTTGTGACACGGAAGAGGAAATACGGGCTTTTCACCAAATGACAGTTTTTAAGTTTTGGTTGGCAGCTAGTTGAGCCCTAGATTGTATCACAGGGCCCGGTGGTGGCCAGGTTCGAGAATGCACCACAGGAAGCCCAGCAGAAGTGTTTCCTTCCATTTGAGTCCTCATCGGGCTTTCTGGTCCCTCAGCTATGATCCGACTTCACGTAACAGTTTGCAGCGTGTTCTATTCTTTTACTTTATTATATATTAGAGGAAAATTATGTGGGTCCAGCTTTCTTCTTTCAACTTTAGCCAGGCAAGTGTTTTTAATTTTTGAATAGCAAAATTCACTGATCCATTGCATGCATTTAAATAGTATTGAGGCCCATGTTTTTTTGTGGGGGGTTTGTTGTTATTTTATTGGGGGTGGTGGGTTGAGACAGGGTCTCGCTATGTGGTTCAGGCTGAGTTTAAACTCCCTATGTAGCTCAGGCTAGCCTTGAACCGATGACAATCCTCCTGCCTCAGCCTCCCAAGTGCTGGGATTAGAGGCGTGTGCCACATGGCCAACCCAAAGCCAGTGATTTCATCATCAATAATTACAGGATTTTTGTTTTTTTGTTTCAGGTACCAGGGATCAAACTCAGGTCCTTGTGCTTTCCAGGCAGGCAGCAGAACCACTGAGCTAAATCCCCGGCCCTCGATCAGTAATTTTAAACATGAATTCTACAGCTGTGAAAGCTATTGTGGCTCGTGAGAAAAGTTCTCTTATTAACTAAATCGTTTCTCAAATAGCACACATGCACTGGACCCTTAGCTGTTGTGCTAGATACTTTATTTTAGAGTAACTTTTTTATTTTTGCTTGGCAGTCCTGGAGATCGAACCTGGTGGTCTGTACCACTGAGCTGTTCCCCACCATTTTTACTTTTGGGGACAGGCTCGCACTGAGTCGCCCAGGCTGGCCTCAGAACTACAGGCTTCCCGCCTCAGCCGTCCACGCAGCTGGGCCTTCAGGTGTGATACTGTGCTCAATTTAGCTCTGCTTTAGCATGTTCACTTCCTGGAGCTGCG